TTTTTTCTAGTTATAGTTATTCCTTGCTTTGCATTCAGAGTGCTGAGGTATCCCTCTGGGATTTCGGGCTGTTTTCCTTCCAAGGGGCAAGCTGGGACTTGCCTTCCTCAGGTGCCCTGTGCTGTTGGGCCTGCCAGGTACAGCCAGGCAGCCTGGGTGGCGGGTCTTCATTGCGATTAAGCTTCTTGCCGAAGCAGCCTCCGTTAACTCGTGAGCTGTTTCGTTTGCTTTACAACTCAGAAGCCCAGCTTCACAGTGGGTTATGCGTGGAAGCTGCCTATCGTCCTAATGAAATGTTCTCTGGTGCAGCCACAGGCTTTGGCATTACGGGCCCAAGGAAGAGGTATCCTGGCTGCGCTTATGAAATAGACCTTTTAGCATCCCGTGCCCGTGGGTGGTGGCGGATGATCCTATGATGGTCCCTTCCACAGTGCCTCCTGGGAGAGGACTGGGTTATTTTCGGCATCGCTGTACATCTCAGGGAATGAAATAACTATGCATCTGGCCTTCTCAGTCATTGAAACAAAAAATGACGAGGAGATTATTACCAAGTTTTTATTTAGAAGGAAATCCAAAGTGTGTGCTTACCCAGATTCTTTGCTCTAGATGGCAAGGAATCTGAGCTCTGGGGTCAAGCTTTGCCTGCTGTTTGAACAGAAGAGCAATAGCCAGGTTGACAGTTCCTGGAATATTGTTGACCTTGGAAAGCAGAGTATAAAGTTTCAAGAAGGGAAACGGGGAATCAGATTTGGAAGGACTGACAACATTCATATTAAGGTGGGTGGGTGCAGATGTCTCAGAACTTGGGTTGAGGCTGGAAAGCAGTGAAGCAAGTCCCCAACACTGGGCATGGAGGGGACGGCACTTGACAACTGCCTCAGAGGGAGGAAGACTGACCATACTTGGTCACCTTCCGCCTCTCTCTGGGGTTTCTCTGGTGAAAGCGCAGCCTGAGTTTGGTCAGACAGATGCCGCATCAGGCAAGTCTGGGGACAGCCCGTGACCACAGCCCCTCCTCAGGGCATCTTCTCTGCACAGCCCTGACTAATGAGCGAGGGCCACATGACCCCACTTGACTGCCCCTTGGCGTGACCATTAGATGAAGTGTGGACGTCTGAGCCAGCTGAGGGAGGGGATGAACTCATCAATGAGTCGTGCTGAGCCAATCAGAGGCTTTTCTAAGAATTTGATTTAAGACGCACAGAAACATTCTGGCTGCTGGTGGGCCTTACATCTGAGCTGGGGCTGGTGGTCCTCTGGTAAGGGGAGCACACAGACGAAACGGGTCGAGAGGAGACAGGAAAGGAGTAAGTCCACAGAGATGCCTCTTGTGTTCAGTTTCTGGTTCCAGTTCCCACAAGGCCTGGATACACTCATTTCCTGTCCTTGGATTCCCGAAACCTCCGTATCTCTGCAGTAACACTCCTGTTTCCCATGAGCTGAGCTGAGAGACCTTCTCTTTCTTGCAACCAAAAGACCATTGACTAGAACAGATGTTAAGAACATGATTAATGTGACAGCTACAAAGTGCAGAATTCAGCTGGATGAGCCACTCAGCAGGCCGGGGTGACTCTACAAATGGGTGTGTGTGTGTTTGGGGGAGGGGTGTTCAATGACTAGAGATGAAAGGACCCCCACAACCTTGCTCTCTTTCCCATTTTTTTCCCTTGGCTGCTCGCCATCTCCTGGCCCCAGCTGCCGAGAGCTATTTCTAGATGAAGTCAGGAAACTGTTTTTGTCTCTAGGACTCTGAGCCCAGAATACCCTGCTCAGGAATGTCCCTTAGCCCCCAGCCACCTGCAAGGACTTCCATGTCTTCTACCAAGAAGCCCTCCACTCCAGCTATTGTTCTCTTATATTTTGGGCAAAGCTCTTCGTAGCTCCAGGGTTTTCCCGCATTCAGACAAACTCAGGNGGGCCCCAGGCATCCTCACCTCACTCACGATGGTGGAAGGGAAGGTGCTGTTGTCGTAGATCCAGCCATCGGGGCAGGGCTCTGTGGCCTCTGTGCCGTTGGCCTCGGTGCCATTGGGGAAGGGTGGTCCCCATTGCAAGGAGGTGAAGCGGAGGCAGGACTCGGGCCGCCCCCGCCTGTCCCGGGGCAGCCAGGCCTCCAGCTCCCCGTCCTTGCTGAGGTTGGCGCTGGCCGGTGGGNAAAGGCCCCCGCTTTGAACTCCTTTCTCTGTCTCCCCACGTGGCCTCAGGAGCATTGGAGCCAGTCAGTGTGTGTGTGTGTGTTTGTCTATCTCAGAGGGGAAGGCACAGTCTGGATGGTGCACGGAGGGGGCCCCAGGCATCCTCACCTCACTCACGATGGTGGAAGGGAAGGTGCTGTTGTCGTAGATCCAGCCATCGGGGCAGGGCTCTGTGGCCTCTGTGCCGTTGGCCTCAGTGCCATTGGGGAAGGGTGGTCCCCGTTGCAAGGAGGTGAAGCGGAGGCAGGACTCGGGCCGCCCCCGCCTGTCCAGGGGCAGCCAGGCCTCCAGCTCCCCGTCCTTGCTGAGGTTGGCGCTGGCCGGCGGGCGGCAGTGGTGGGCGGGGATGGCGGTGAAGTTCTGTGGGGTGATGTGGGGGGCCATCAGCAGCAGGGGGAGGAGCAGCAAAGTTATCTGATCTGCTGGAAGGGGCCGATGTCCCCCAGCTGCTGCAGGAGGTCATTGAAGGCCATGGTGCAGGACACAGCAGGAGCACTGGAGCCGTGGCCTCCTGCTCCCACAAACTGTCCCTGTGTTTTGGTGCAGGGGGAGGCGAAGGACCACCCTTTGTCTCTCTAACTCATCAGTTCCTGGATCTGTGGTAGCCCTGGGCCTCCTGATGGCCAGTGGTGGCTTTTATAAGTTCTTTCTAAAGGAATCAAGTTGAACTGTGACTTGAGAGTAACACATTCAGTTGTTAGAATCCCTGGGTTAATGGTTTGTTCAAGGGGCCCTAAAGGGCAGTTCAAGTGGAACTGGGTGGAATGAACTTCCTTCCTGTGCGGAGGGACACGCACGTGCCCCAGTGTTTGGCAGCTTGAGTGTCCTCACGAGGTCAGAAGAGGACATGCTTCCGGTTACAGATGGCTGTTTCAGCCACCGGTCTGTCATATTTTGTTTCGGCAGCTCAGACAGACTAATATAGCCCTCAAGGGTGTCACTTATATCCATTGTGTGACACAATTCCAGCCGAGAAATGTGGCAGAAAGCCCGTGTGGGGGAGGCGACTTCTGGGAAAGGTAGTCCTGCTCTGCAGAAGGGAGGCCTGAAGAGCAACTGCCCTTCTGTGCCTGCGGGTGCTGCCGCGTGAGGAGGTGACACCTGGAATCCTTTTGTCATCATGGGGGCAGTAGGTGACCTGCTGAGGAGGGGAGGGGAGAGGGTTGGGAGGAGCTTAGATCCACGGTGATGTTGGGAGCCTGAGTCATGGAAGCCTGTTTAAGTCCTATTTTTTGCAACGTGACCTTGTGTCTTAGTCAGCTTGGGCTGCTGTAACAAAATACCATTAGTGGGGTGACTTCTCCGTAACAGAAATGTGTTTCTCACAGTTCCGGAGGCCGCAAGTCTGAGATCCTGGTGCCAGTCTGGCCAGGTTTTGGCGAGAACCAAGTTCCCATTACAGACGGCTCACTGCTTCTTTTGTTTTGTTTCGATTTATTGATTTGAGAGAAAGAGAGAGGAGGGGAGAGAGAGGACGGGGAGAGAGGAAGGGGAGAGAGAGGTAGAGACTTGTCCCACTTATCTATGCACCGCTGGGTGATTCTTGTCTGTGCCCTGACCCAGTGTTGAGCCCACGACCTTGTCGTGTGGGGATGAAGCTCTAACCGCTCCCCAGCCAGAGGCCACCAAAGGCGTTTGAGGAGTGGGGACAGGACCAGAGGGTGCGGTGAGGGGCGGGGTAGAGAATGAGGTGAAGACAGGCAAACATTGGGGCATTTATGTGGATGCAAAAAAGTTTACGGGACCCTTCCACCCAGGGGTCCAAGGGATCTCAGGGTGGCCAGAAGGCCCCACAAAGGGGCTTTGCAGACTCCCTTCTGTCTGTGCAGGGCGCAAGGCAGGCGCTTGCCAGGCCCGGGGCTTAACCTCAGGCTAACACAGCGCTTTGCTGTAGGTGTCACTCTACACACATCATTAGATGGTTTTCTTGGACGAGGAGGAACAGTGGGCAAGGGGGTCCACCCAGTGTTTTTCTTTTCTTGTTTTTTAATTGACTTGTTTTCCTTTTTTTAGAGAGAGAGAGAGATCGGTTTTTGTTCCACCTATTATGCATCCTTGGTTGACTCTTGTATGTGCCTGGACAGGGGATCGAACCCACAACCTTGGCGTATGGGGACGATGCTCTAACCGACTGAGCCACCGGGTCAGGGCGGATGGGTTCTGTTACCTTTTGGCTGGCAGCTGGTGGTGTGGAGTGGCTGTTACCTCAGAGACAAGACAGACAAAGGGAGATGCTGCCCAGAGAAACCTTTTAATGATGTGGTCTTGGTGGGGTCCACGCAGAGAGGGGTGCCCTGGGGAGCTGCTTCCCTGAACCTCCCGGCACTCGGGCTGCCAGGCCCCCTTCTCCTTCCTTGTGCGGGTGGCCCGGGGCCTGCAGGACCCTCGCCCCTTTAGGGCTCTGTAAGGCCTGTTCTCAGTGCTCGGAGCCCATTCTTCTCTTGTGCTCAGGCTGGAGCGGGACCATCTGCTTCTGCTGCTCTTGGTGCTGTCGCTGCGGCTTCCCTCTCCTCCTGGGGGGCAGGAGAGGGGTGCCCTAGGTATGCCGCCTGCAGGCCAGGGCTAGGGCCGGGAGGGTCTCGGGGGCTCTCCGCTTAGCTGCACCCAGCTACCAGCTCTCTGCCTCGAGCGCCTACCCCTGCCTGGAGCTGAGAGCCTCAGAAAGGACTCGAGAGACTCAGCCAACTGGGGAAACAGGGACAACGAGCGCCGGCCTGGGAAAGGAGGCCTGGGTTTGAGCCTCAGTGCCACCCCAGCCTGGACGCGTGACATGAGCTATGTCCCTGCTCCTCTCTGGGCGGGAGCTCACCTGTTTTCCAAGTCCTGCACTGTGTCCGGCAGGGGATGGCCCAGGGTCTCCGGCAGGAAGGCAGTGACAATGCTGGCCACCACGGGGACCGCACCGTAGACGAAGAGAGGCAGGGAGGGGAGGAGCTCGGCGGCCATGCTCACCAGCGGGCTCGAGATGCTGCCCACTCGGGCCATGGTGCTGCCCATCCCTAGGCCTGTCTGCCTGAGGGGCCCGTGGGGGGGCTGGTTAGGGTTCTGGCGTAAAGGCTCAAGTGCTCAAACACCCCTTGGTGCCTCCTCCACCCCCCATTTGATTAGCAAATCAATTTGGCATTTGTTTTAGAGATTAAAAGAAGGGGAAAAACCAGGGTGGGGAGGGCCCTGGCTTTGGAATCAGGGCATTGATGTTGCCTCTGCCCTTAACTTGCTGTGTGACCTCAGGCAAGTCCTTTTTTTTGTCTGGGCCTAAGTTTCCTTGACAGTCATATCAGACAGTTGAGTTAGGCCAACTGCCCTCAGGTCATTTTTGAGTTACAGTTGCCCCAGCAGCACACAGTCAGACCGACTGGATTAGAATCCTCAGGGGAAGGGTCTGGAATGTGCAAGTTAAGAGCAGGTTAAGAACATTCTCTATGAGGGCGGAGGTTAAAAACACTGGCTCAGGAGACAAACTGGATTCAAATCCAAGCTTTTTCACTTACAAGCTGTGTGACCTTGGGCAAGTCACTTCACTTCTCTGTGGCTCAGTGCTTTCATTTGTAAAATGGGATTAATCATAATACTTACCTGATAGGCTTATTATGAGGATTAAATGAGTTGGTATTTTGAAAAGTTTAAGACAACACCTGGTACCTAGTAAGGGACTTACACCATTGTGCTTTCCCCTGAAGCCCCAGGAGGGCACAATACAGTAACCGTGACCCTTCAGGGTTCTCGTGCCAGGAGGCTTAGGGAAGCTTGATATTTCTTTGATATCTCATGTGAATTTTGCATCCATTCTTAAAATAGACATGTTTCTTGTTTCTTAATTCAAACTCCACCCTCTGCCAAGTCTCAGCACTCCGAAAAACAGGGCTGTGTTTATCCGTACAGCTGATATACCATCAAGCCCCACTGCTATGAAGTGCGGCTCCTGTGACGGGAAAGCACTTTCATGCTTGTGGTCTTTGGTGTCAGATGTACTACTTGGTTTATAGATGGAATTTAGATTTGGTGTCAGATTCTAACTTGTGCTTTGAAGATCAAGGGGGGACTTCCAGTCATTGCCTCTGAGATGTGTCTTCTTGGCTCCCTACTCTGTCTCAGTTGGGCCACCTCCTGAGATCTTCTAGGGTCGGTAAGGGCTTAGCGAGTAGTCAGTCCCGTGTGAGTCAGGCCCCCACGTAGGTAATCACTGGCTGCTATATACCTTGTACTGGTGGGTGCTGGGAAGGGGTTTTGAGCTGGGCATGCTGGACATGCTCTGGGGTATGACCTGAGTGTGCAGGAATGTTTTACCTTGAGACCCCTCATTAGGCTTCCACTCACCGAATCACTGTGGGGTACAGCTCCCCAGTGTATAGAAAGATGCAGTTGAAGGAGGAAGCCAGGCAGCCCTTCCCCAGCACAGCAAGGGAGGTTCGGACAATGGACTGATCTAGAGAAAAAGGTGGGGTATCAGAAGGATCTTGGGAGTGGGCGCTGGGAGGATCTGGCCCTGCTGTCTTGTGAGAAGTTGAGCCATGCCTGCGGATGAGGCTGAGGCTGAGGCGGAGGGACCAGCATGCTCACCCTGGGGTAACACCCCATTGACCAGGATGCAGATGCCAGCCAGAAGCAGTGAGGCCACCTGGGCAGGTCGGCGGCCCAGGTTGTGGATGACAAGGAAGCTCACAAGCTTGGCAGGCAGGTCCACAGCTCCGAAGATTACCTGAATGAGGTAGATGCTAACCCCAAAGCCTTGCAGGTCCATGACCAGCCCGTAGTAGGAGAAGCTAGTGGCAAACCTGGGGGGGAGGGGGGAGGGGTATGCGGTTTGTCATGAAGACTCAGAGGTGAGGTGCTCACTCGAAATAAGGGTGAGCTGCCCTGAGCACCCTGCTGACAGAGCTGGAATCTGCCTCGGCTGATCTTTCTTTAGTGATACCCAGTTTAAATACTGGGGCAGTGCTGCAATACCCCAAATTATTTTCACTTGGTTGCTATGTAGGATTTACGTAGTTTTAGTCTTTATCTTATCTATTGAAACTGGGCTGAGGGAGGACACGTGGATATCCAAGCCCTATCTTTATTTTTTTAAATTTTAATTTAAATTTTTTAAATATATCTTTATTGATTTCAGAGAGAGGAAGGGAGAGGGAGAGAGAGAGAGAGAGAGAGAAACATCAATGATGAGAGAGTCATTGATTGGCTGCGGCCCACAACCCGGGCATGTGCCCTGACCGGGAATCGAACCCTGATCGCCTGGATCCTAGGTCGACACTCAACCGCTGAGCCACTCCAGGGCGGGCCAAGCCCTATCTTTAGAGCCAAGGTTTTGGGAGAGGCAATAGCCTTCTAGGACCTGTCCATGGTGCTGGAATGGGTGTTGTGCTTCTTAAGATGTCAAAAGCCCACAAAATGAAGCTCGGGTTCTTGGATAACATCCACAACCTAGAGTAAATCCAAAACTGGTAACAACAAAATCACTGGTAGGGTTGTTCCTTTGGACCACGCCTTTCTTAACTGTCATGGGGTTGCTGTGGCGATGGGATCAGGAGGGTGGCTGTCAGAAGGGTAATGGGGAATGTTGCAATGGGAAAGGAAGACAGTTGGCTGAAATCAGCCTCGGCCAAAATGGACATATGGAGATAGGCTTTAGGCATCTTACTGCCTGTGCCTGCGCTTCTGGCCAAGGCCAGTAAAGTCTCTGAATGTTTTCGAAGCCAGACTGGTCTCTGCCTTCATGATGTAAATTTCTACATTGGAACAGAGCTGATAGAAGGAGAAATGGAACCACTGATGCCCAGTTTGGGCTCTGGAACTGGACTAAGGACGGAGTTCATCTGGTCCTTCAAGACTCTCCTTGGTGGAGGATTTCTGCCCCTCATAGCAGGTCTGGTGACTTTTCCCCCCTCTCGCCTGACTTTTCCCACCCATTGCATACACTCTCCCCCCATCAGCTGCTTGTCTCCCGGTCTGTCTGTCTGAGCCTACCACAGCAGGGAGAGGCAGAGGAAGAGGGGGCGCAGGGTGGGGCAGCGCAGCAGCTCCATGGCCGAGGCCTGGCCTTTGCCCAGGGTCAGCTCCTTCTGCACACTGGACCGAAGGACCTATCAGGATGGGAGGGCTCAGCACCTAGGCTCCCCCAGGAGCTCCTCCCAGCCTAACCCCTTACTCAAGGAATCCCTCTGGGTCCTGAGACCTGGGTTTAGGGTGTGGGGGTGGAGCCCTGAGGAAGTCATGGAAGGTGTTGGGGGTCTCACCTCCATACTTAGCTTGGCCCCCTCATCCTGCTTCCCATTGATCTGGGCCACTCTCTGAAGGGTCTTCAGGGCGAGGTCCAGCCTCCCGGAGGAGGAGTACCAGCGGGCTGACTCGATGAAGAACCTGGGGGCAGGGGGGGTGTGGGTAAAAGCATGGCTTCAGTTCCAGTCTGCTGGGGTGGGGAAAGGAGGCGAGCTTTCCGGAGGCCTGCAGTGGGATTTTACTTAAATCTAGGAACCCAGGGGCTTTGTCAGATCCATCTGTCCAGGACCACAAAGCAGTGCCCAGCTTGGTGATGGCTCATTGTGCAACCCAGGAACTGAGTTCTTGGGTGCTGGGTAAAGGGAGCAGTGCAGCAGGCTGGAGACCTGGGGGAAGCTGGGGAGAGCCAGAGAACTGGACACCTTGGGGCAAATCCTTTCCCTACAGCCTGTTTCCCCAACTCTCAGACTGAGACATTGCCCTGGGTTTGACCTTCTGGCTTTGACCTTCTCTGATTCTGTGGGGCAAGGTGTTTGGCCAGATCTGGGGAATGTCTTGTCCCTTGCAGCCCTCTGAGCTTCTGTGGCACCCCCACCCACCCTGGGCCCCACGCACCAGGAGTAGATGAAGGAGACGAAGAAAGGCAGAGAGACCAGCAGCTGCAGGTGGCGCCAGTGGGGCACAGCATAGGCCACTCCAGCCAGGACTAACTGGCCCAGGCTGTAGAAATAGCCAGCCATGGCGCCCACATAAGCCCGAGTGTGGATGGGCATCCACTCCATATCTGGAAAGAGGGTTAGAACAGGGTGGTGCAACTTCCTGGATGCCAGGTGGGCAGGGGCCCTGGGCAGGCAAGGCCCCCTCTGAATGCAACCCCTGCTCTGTCCCCAGGCTCAGTGAAGATGAGGGTGGGAGCCATGGGAGGGAGGGGGAGGTCTTCAGTGGAGGGGGTTTGGGATCCCAGGAAAGGTCCCCTCCGCTCCTCTGCTGGGTTTTGGCTCCACCCTGCGCTACAGTCCTGGCTAGGCCTCCTTTCTGTTCAGTGTCTCTGGCCACTCAGTCCATCCTCAACAGCAGCCACTCTCCCAGTCTGGTTGTCCCAGCCTGGGCCGGACTTCGGCCTCCGTGGTCAGAACAGCTCAGAGGAGGCGGCTTCCCTCTGTCCTGGAGAGCAGAGGTGGGAGTGAGAGCACCCCTCTGAGGAGGCCCAGCTCCATTCCTTGTGTGCCCCTGGGCGGCGGCTTGGACACTTAGACTGGGCTTTGGGGCTGCGCTCTCTGGGTGATCTGCCCCAGCCTTAACCTAGTCCTGGTTAATTCCTTTAGTTCAGAGAACCCCAAAACCTTAGATTCCATCTGGGCTTGAGGGATGGCCTGGGGTAAATCCTTTCCCTTCTCCTTGGCCTCGGGTTTCTCATCTGGGAAACATGGGGAGGGGAAACACGGCTTATGCACAGGCCACGCTTGGTTCATAAATGGGTTTGGTCTACATGAGGAAAAATATTAGACAAATTGCTAACACTAAGAAATTGGGATATTTTATATTAATAAAAAGGAGGGGGAGATCTATGGTAAGGGGAGGCCTCCTGGCTGTGACCCCTCTGGATGGGCGTGACTCTCCTTCAGGTACAGTCCTCCCCCCTCCCTAATGCCTCTAGTACCTGGTCTGCTTCGGTCATTTACAGGACCTGCCTGATCCTAACAGTGGAGTTTGCAAGCCCATACCTAAATGAAGGGTGAGGGTGTTGTAAGCCCCCCGCAAAGGCTGTTCTGTTGGCTGGAAGGGCAGACCCAAAGGGCTGGCCAAGGGCAGGTAGAGCTCAGGAGGGGGGCCTGGGAGGGGAGGCTGGGAAGCTGGCGGTTGGCTGAGTGGTGAGAGGAAAGTGGGTAGGACCCTCCCTGCCCTCCCAGCATCCCTCACTCAGGGTTATGCTGTTGAGCAAGACGCCAGCCATGGACATGCCCGTGAGGAGCCGGAAGGCACAGTAGATGGGGAAGCTGGGGGCAAAGGCTGCGCAGGTCCCTGACACCGCTGTCTGCAGGTGGTTCCAGATCAGCACCTTCCGGCGGCCCAGCCTGTGGGGGAGGGAGGGCCTGCATCAGGGTTCCTGGGGACCAAGTGGCTCGGCTGGGCAGGGAGAGGAGTGCTGGCCCTGGGTGAGGTCCTGGGGTGGGGGGGCGCTTCTGAGGACTTAGGAAGTATCATAAGACTGGTGCTGGGAATGCCAACCTCCCACCTAGGGCTCTAAGCCCAGCCCAGGAGCCCCCAACCCCAGCCCCTGCTCCTTGGCCCGCCCACCCAGGACTGACCTGTCTGCCAGGTATCCGAACACCATGGCTCCGAGAAGCACCCCTACCATGTACAGGGACTGAGCCAGCTGGCGCAAGGCCCTGTGGGAGCACACAAGGTCCCACTGCGGGGAGAGGGGATGAGTCAGGCAGAGAGGAGCCTGAGCTGTGCGGCAGCCCCTTCCCTCCCAGCTGGCCCTCGGAGGTGTCACCCTCTTCCCCTGACTCCTCTCTTTGCTGTTTGTCTCCCTGGTCCCAGGAGCTGAGAGGCTGTTCTTGACTCCCTCCCGCATCTACCTTCTCCACAAAGGCCCCCGCTTTGAACTCCTTTCTCTGTCTCCCCACGTGGCCTCAGGAGCATTGGAGCCAGTCAGTGTGTGTGTGTGTGTTTGTCTATCTCAGAGGGGAAGGCACAGTCTGGATGGTGCACGGAGGGGGCCCCAGGCATCCTCACCTCACTCACGATGGTGGAAGGGAAGGTGCTGTTGTCGTAGATCCAGCCATCGGGGCAGGGCTCTGTGGCCTCTGTGCCGTTGGCCTCGGTGCCATTGGGGAAGGGTGGTCCCCATTGCAAGGAGGTGAAGCGGAGGCAGGACTCGGGCCGCCCCCGCCTGTCCCGGGGCAGCCAGGCCTCCAGCTCCCCGTCCTTGCTGAGGTTGGCGCTGGCCGGCGGGCGGCAGTGGTGGGCGGGGATGGCGGCCGTGAAGTTCTGTAGGATGTTGTGGGGGGCCATCAGCAGCAGGGGGAGGAGCAGCAGAGTGACTTGGATCTTCTGGAAGCGGCCGATGCCCCCCAACTGCTTCAGGAGGTCATTGAAGGCCATGGGGGCCAGGCCCAGCCGAGTGGCTGGGGGTTGAGGACTCCCAGTCCCAGGATCTCCGTCTGTGTGTCTGTCTGCCCGCTGTCTGTCGCTGGAGGACAGGGGCTGTGGCTTCTGCAGCTGAGTTGCTCCTAGAGCTGAATCCAAGTTGGCCCTGTGGGGGGCCAGCAGCCTGGTGGGCCAGTGCCCTCCTTCCTGCTCTCTCTCCTGGTCTGTCCCTCCCTTTCGCTTGCAACCTCTTGTCGCGTGGTGGGGGCTCAGCTTTCGGGGCTGCTGTGGCCTTGACCCCAACATGCACAGTATTTAATCCTTGGCCAGGAGGGAGGGAGTTAAAGTGTGACTGAGTGTCAGAAGGATTAACCCTCCCAGTATCCTGGTGTCAGTGGAATGCCTCCAAGTGGGTATAAAGGGCAGGAGAGAGTGGACTGAGGTGGGGGTGGTGGGAGGGGGTGGACTGCTCGGGCCCATCTGGGCAGCTGGGGCCGGGAGGGGACATAGCGGAACCTTTAGTCTTTCTTTCAGTGAGAAGACTGGGTTCTGAGAAGTGTGGTGGCCTCTGGAGGGGCGTCTGTCCTTTTTAGTGGACAGGATTCAAACAGTCTGTCACTGGGAACGGCTGCCACAGGACGCCCAGTTCATCTGAATTTCAGATCAACAAATAATTATTTTTTTTACTGTATGTCCCTAAAATCACATCGGACATACTTATATTGAAAAATTATTCATTGATCTGAAATTCAAATTTAACTGGGCTCACTGTATTCTCATTTGCTGGAATTCACAACCCTGGTCTTTGGTCTTCTGGGGACAGCTCATATCTTATAGGACCCTGGCTTTGTTCAATGGAAGAAACAATAGAGGTCAGAGGCTACTTTGAAAGCAGTGGGACCTAAGACCAACATGGTACATGATGTAGATGAATTTCTTCCAGTGCCTCAGTTTTAACTTTCTGGCTTATCCTGATTCAAACCCCCCTTTTTTGCATGCCTATTTTATTTTAAGCCACAACTCTAAGATGCTCACTTGATTTCCTCCAGTACTTGGCCCCTGGGCTCTGGTCACACATGATCAGGGCAGTGCCCAGCTGGGATCGGATGGGATCCAATTGGTTGGATCATGGGTCGGGTGTGCCAGGAGAGCCGGTCGAAGCTTCTTGCTTTGAGTTTGCCTGTGATATAAAACGTGGGCTCTCGAGTCAGCCTAGTTGGATCCAAATCCTCATTCCACACTCACTGGCTGTGTAGCTGGGCAAGTCATTAAACTCCTCTGTATCTCAGTGTTCTTGTCTGCAAGGTGGCCTCTTGTGTTGTTGGAGGGTTAAAGGAGCCAATACAGGTAAAGATCTTAAAGTAGCCCCTGCCCCATAGCTCAGTGATTATGAGCTCCACTGATGATTTATTTCTGGTAAAAAAGTAAATTTCACATTGATTTTAGAGAGAAAATATGCCTACGCACATCTTATCCTAAGAACAACGATTCTCCACTGAGGGCGATTTTGCCCCCCAGGGGACATCTGGCCATGTCTGGAGATATTTTTGGCTGTCACCACTGTGGGTGGTGGTGCTACTGGCTTCTAGTGGGTAGAGTCCAGGATGCTGCTGAAAGCCCTACAATGCACAGGATAGCCCCACACAACCAAGGACTGTCTGGACCCAAAGTGTCCATAGTAAGGTTGAGAAACCCCAACCTAAAAGATGTCTCCAGCTTACTTCATACAGTGATCGATCCCATACCTGCTTGGCCAAGGGTATTCTAGTCACACAGATGACTCCTGCCAAAGCAGTTCTAAGGTTGCCCACGCTCTCGGTTGAGTGGGAAAGCTGTTTGCAAGGTGAGGAAGAGAACCCTCCTCCGTGTCTTGCCTGAGTGCAGCAGAATAGCCTGGGCTGGCAGTGCTGTGGCTCCTTCCCTGCCCAGGCCTACTGGGAGGGGCCGGACCAGGGCCCGATCTTCCTGTGTCCAGCTCAACATTCTTCTCCACTGGCTTCTTTTTAAAAATTTAAAAATTGGCCTGGCCAGGTGTGGCTCAGCGGTTGAGCGTTGACATAGGATCCAGGTGATCGGGGTTCGATTCCCCGTCAGGGCACATGCCCCGGTTGTGGGCTCGATCCCCAGTCGGGGGTGTGCAGGAGGCAGCCAATCAATGACTCTCTCATCATTGATGTTTCTCTCTCTTTCTCTCCCTCTCCTTTCCTCTCTCTGAAATCAATAAAGATATATTTAAAATTGATTTTCAAAGAGAGAGGAAAGGAGAGGGAGAGAGATAGGGAAACATTGATGTGAGAGGAAAACATTGATGGGCTGCCTCCTGTGTGCTCCCTATCGGGGATTGAACCCACAACCCGGGCGTGTGCCTTGACTGGGAATCGAACCAGCAACCTGTTGGTGCACAGAATGAAGCCCAACCAAATGAGTCACACCAGCCAGGGCAGAATGTTCTGACTCTCGTGTTGGGCTGGGGCTTCCATCTGCCCTTCACGTGTGTTTCTCTTTGAGGTCTCTGGCTGTCCCTCTCTGCAACTGGTTCCTATCGCCTGGCCCTCTCCCCCTTCCCGGATGTATTGGCAGATGTCTGAGCATGATGCATGGCTTGGGTTCTGTAGTTTTACAGGAGGTACCCAGACCCTGTACAAATGAGCTGCTGCAAAGGGCTACGAAGGGAGACCTGCTCAGTTCTCGGTACAAATCTCCATCTTGCTGAGAAGGAAGAGCTCGATTTCCAGCTTCCTTTGTAAGGAGTCCAGGTGCCCTGTTACCATTGTGCAGTTTATACAAGCTACACTTTTGTGTATTAAGTTGGGAGGGTGTTTATTGTCTCTCAAGGCCCTGGGATACATGAGGTCTGAGAGGTCATCTAGTCTCATACATCCAGAAGAGAAGAGGGGAAGCCCAGAGAGCGAAGTGACTCAACCCAGCCCCCTCCTCCCACCCACTGTTGGTTCTGGGCTGGGACCCAGTGGGCGTCCAGATGCCTGACACATTCTCCAGGCCAAGGTATATAAATAAGAGCCTGTGGCCTGGGGTTGTGAGAACAGCTGGACAAACAGCCTGGGGGCTCTGGGGCCAGCCTCCTGCCAGAACTTGGTGCCCGCATGGGGGAGTGAGCAGGTGCTGAGGGCAGTGGGGGAGGTGGTGGGTCCCTCCGGAATCCTCCCTCTCTGAGCCCGCGCACAGCCCCACCTTGGAGAAGAGCCCCCTCCCTAGTTCCTGACCAGCTTCCAGACAGGTTGAATCTGGAAAAAGCTCCATTGGAGGCTCTAGGGACTGGATTGTGGTTGTCTCCTGGGATTACTTGGTTAGCAGAGGGATTCCCCACCAGCCTCCCAGCACATGGAGAGTTTCTAGATGGAAATGGTCACATGGCAAATGATTTGCAGAGCCAGGGACTATCCCCTATGGACAAAGGGATAAAATCTGGGGACTCCCGATTGGCCAAGAACCACAGAACCACATGCCGTTAGAGATGAATGCTACCACGTGAGTGAAAACATCTCATTGTGTAGGTAAGGAGACCGAGGCTCAGAGTAGACAAGGGATTTGTCCAGGATCACACAGCAGGCAATTCTAGAAGTCAGTCCTCTTAATTCCAGAGAGGCATATGTTCACATCGGTCCAGCTTGCGTGTGCCTGTGCGCAGGTATTTTCATGTACGTGACGGTACAGACGATGGATGTGCCGCTCCCACGTGCACACAGTGGCCTCTCCCTTCTCCTTCCTCCTTCCTGAGCAGCATGAGCTTTTCACTGGCGTTTATTGAAACCTCCCATTAAGGAAAGGGGTGGAGGGAGGAAGGAGAAGGAGCCTGTCTTTGTTAGGATTGAGCCAGGGGGTCCAGGCGACTTCAGGGGAAGGAAGCTGGCACAGTGGGGAAAGTGGCAATGGGGAAGGGCTGGACAGGGAATGGCAGGGCCTCGGCCGCAGGGAGGACAAGCGCAGGGGGGATGGGAAGGCTGGTGGTGGAATCTTTGAACTGGTCAGGGCTGGGCTGGGAGATGTGGCGGCGGGTGGTGGACATACTTGCACCAGGCTCTCAGAAGACTTGTTCTAAGAGCATGGCCCGACCAGGTGCCCCCCCCCCCC